TTTAATGCATTTTTAAGTTGTTTATTAATGCTGTTAGTCTGTATAGGGTTCGTTTCCCTACTTCTTTTAGTGTTAAACAATAACTAGCATTAGTTAATAGTTTTCAAATGCTTTTCAAACTTCCTGATGAACGTGTAAAAATTTTCATTCCATATTTGCTTTGTTTCAAAAATTAATCATTCGGTAAAAAGCCCATATTTAGATATTATTAATAATGCAAATCCTTGCTTGCCAAATATTTAAACCCTCTCAACTGCTCTACCATCACTTCTCATAGCTTCAAATATCAAATAAAAAAAAAAAAATCAAAATCAAATATTCACAATAGAAGAAAATCTTCTAGTTTCAGTTTACGTTGATAAGGAGTTCAAATTCTTGGATTAGATAATGAATATCGATTATGCCTTCACATTTAATCATTTTGTAAAAAAGCTTTACCCGAATGCTGGTAATTTTGAAGAGTTTAATGCACAACCGAATAAGAACAACCGCATCCAATGTTCTTTAAATCTCACGAGCGAGAGTTTTCTGAATCCCGAATATGACATCAAGAATAGCTACAAGAATTTAAAGATAAATATGAAATATCATAATATCAACATCTTATTCATTTTGGTTAAGAATCACGAGCATGTATCTCATATAGAGCTTTTGACAGATGTTACTATCACCATCGATCCGATCAATGATTTATCATTTAGATACCAATCAGATAAGATTCAAGAATTTACAACTGTCCTTCGAAGATATAATCCACAAAATATTCTTAATGTTTGTGAAAAGGACAGCGTTGTTACCATTTACAATAAACTTTATTGCAAGCAACACCTTGATATAAAGAATATCAAGGTCCAGAAGAGAATGATTAATATTAGGAAATATCAGATCAAGTTAACACAGAAGGAAATCGACAAGTTAATAGTTAAATATCTGAATAAAGCTGTAAACGTAAATGCTAATCCAAAAAAAATTTTCGACGTTATATTCAGGAAGATAAATGATGAAAACTATATTGATCAATTAAAATATTTTCACAGGAATATGATTTTCAACGATAAAACAGGTAAAATGATTGCAGAAACTGTCAGGAAAATGTTCAATAGTGCATTCAAGAACACCTGCGAATGCGAGCGACAATTGTTCTTTAAGGTCGTGAAAGCCAATCTGTGTGTTTACTTTTTAACCTATTTAAAGAACATGAGCTATGATGTTGCATTCGCACATTCTATTGAGACGACTCCCAGATGCATAAAAATCTCAAGATCTCATCAAACCATATTAAATATATATCGAATTTAAGATCAAAAAAACTAAAAACAAAAAACTAAGACAAACACCATTTTTAAATTTTTATAATAAACTAGGTTATAATTTTAGCATCAGCTAATTTCAACATTAGCTGTTACAATAAATAAAAGAAACAAATTGTCATAAGTCAGAAATTACTACTACTAGCCCGGAACTAAGGTTTCTAAACTTGAATGGCTAAGAAAAAAAAGCATATAGAAGAAACAATATTACCTTGATTTAATAATTAATATTGGTCTTCAATAATTGAAATAATATGTATTATCTGCCAAAATTTGATACGTATGCTATTATTTGTTTTATTTATTATTCTTTTGTGCTCACTTACTAATATACAAAGTTAACAGAGAGCTAAGGACACATTACACATTCTTAGTATCATAGATTAAAAATAAAAAATATCTAACTTTGCAAGCAAAGTTTATTCACGCTTTTTCTTATATTTTTGAATCCATGGGTGTCTTAAGATATCTTTCAAAGGTAGACGCTGTTTCGGATCGTGTTGTAGTAACTATGTTTGTAATCAGAAAATTAAAATCAACACTTAACTTTGTTAGTCAAATTCTCTAAGTATTTAAAGAATAGTTACCGAGTTAATCAAGTAACAAGCCTCAAATGACAAATGATCAGGTAGGGTGAACTCAACTTTGGCTATTCGTTTATATGTTTCAGTATAACCAGCTTCTTCAAATAGTACAGTACCAGTCAGAAGTTCATAGCACAAAACACCAAGTGACCAAATGTCGACCTTTTCATCATGTTCTTTACCTTCAACCATTTCTGGCGGAAGATAATCCAATGTACTACAAAATGTTTTATGCCTGATATAATAAAGGAAAACTAATTGAACAAACATTCTTTTAAATGTAAATTGATACGTATAACTTACCTTTGGCTTGTGTGCACAGACCATCCAAAATCTCCAATCTTAATTTCGTCATTCAAATCTATCAACAAATTTTCTGGTTTTATATCTCGATGAATAATGTGTTTTCGGTGAATATAACTTAAGGCTCCAACCATTTGTGCAATATACTATGTTAGAAAAGAAAAACTCTTATAGTTTTCAGAAAACATTTATTTATTCAAAATAATTTAATAAACAAACTCTTAATGTTTTTTTTCTTTAAGTCTACCCAATTTTACAAGTTTTTTATAAAGTTCTCCTTTGGCTACATATTCAAGGATCAAAACAAAGTATATATTATCTTGAAAATGCCTGAGAAGTCGAAGGATATTTGGATGCCTATCGTATTTAAACATTTATCCAGTCATTTAAAAGGTTATCATGTATATATATATATATATTATTCATTTAAGTTACTTTAGATTGGCCTGAATCTCTACTTCATGTCTCAATTGTCTTTCAGCATTTTTTTTAATTAGTTCTTTAATAGTTAGCACTTTCAATGCTACTATATAGCCGCTTATTTTTTCTCTTGCAATATAAACACGGCCAAATTGTCCTTTACCAATACCGCGTCCAATATCAAAGCTTTTCAATGATATTTGGGGAACTCTATTAGAGATATAAAATGTTAATTTATACCGCTCACGTAATTCGAAACCAGATTAAATATTTTTGTCATTACCTAATGGGTGAACTAATCATAATTTCTTTAATTTCTTTCTGGTATTCTTCATTATTCTTTTGATTCATGTTAAATCAGAAGTATGTTTTGATTTTCCTGATTGTATTATGGTACACCAAATCATATGGGCTGATCGGACTCATTTCATGTGATATAACATGTGATAAGTAATACCTTAGTACTGATACGACAATAACAACACAGGTAAAAGCTTCAAAAACAGCTTCTTCATGAATAGTAATAACTAATACGCAAGATTTATATTATTTTTTAATAAAAAATTCGTAAAAACCTTTTAAATATAAGTTCTATAGCATTATTTTATATTTCAAGTATTCGAATAGTAAATAATAATATTCTCTGCAAGAATTTACGTTTGTATTGTACTAAAACAAAACAACTATGTTAGAGTTGTTAAAAAAAGTATTAAACCAAAAAAAAAAACAACTATTACAAGTATAAGTTTAAAAGGTATATTATTTCAAACTTGACGGCTAAAACTCATTACCAACTCATTGCCAACTCATTGCCAACTCATTGCCAACTTATTATCAATTTATTTCTCGAGCCTTCTAGAAAGAAAATTGATATTTGGGGCTATGCCTTGAAAATAAGATTCTGGGATCCCCCAGACCAAAAATTAGATTTTTGTTTAATATTAATCTCTGAGTTATGAAGTTTATTTGGTATAAATTTTATGCCCTGTTAACTTAATAATATAGAAGCGTTATTGATCCTTTATTTATTCATACATTGTAATAATTCTAATTCTCATTAAATAATGTATTGTTTTTTATTAGATGTATTGTTTTTTTTATTAGATGTATTGTATTGTTATTTCTTAGACAAAATATTTTCGTGTTTACAATAAAACTAAGTACTTGACTTTTGAATATAATTTTAAATATACTCACCATTATTTCTATTTTTGTAATCGTGTATGATCTTATTTCGCTTATACATTGATTAATATCTTCTATTTTCAGCTTTTATGCAACACCGATAAATTACTAGAATAATATATTTCCTCCCGACGTGTGATGATAAAAATGTATAAATTAAACAATATACACCATTGTAAAAAAAATGATGCTATTATCTTAATTTTTATTTTTCCACAAACCTGTTTTAATGCAATCACGAACCGTTTTGATGATCAAATCTTTCACTGATCAGTTTTAATGCAATTGAAAAATGTCTGAATGATTTTGCAATTGTAAAATTAATAAAACTCATAATTAGTTGTAATTTGAATAAAAAAAATTGTTTAGAAAAAAAAAGAACAAACGTGATAAGTCTTACTAGAGCATCTAGATTATGCAATTTCAAGAATTTTTCATTGTTCAAACAATTAAAAATTCCTTAAATCGCATAAGTCTGGACACTCCAGTATTAAATTTGTTATCAATTCCATAAACCTGTGTTTTCGTTTCACATTCATAAGCATATCTTTTTTCTATATGCAGCGGTGCATTATAAATTCATATTTTCTTGCCCTACTACATACAATTACCATTAGTTAATCTAATAACATATGTCTGGTCTTATATAAATATTGATGCTATTTACCATGAGCAACGTGCCAAAGTATTATTATTCGAGTTCAAGAACGAAATTAGATATACAAGAGATCACATAGTCAAAGTTTCAATTATACAAAATGGAAAAATGCTCAAACTATAGAGTTGTTTGTTTAGATGAAAAGTTTATTTGGGGTGGTCTGTGTCACAAAACGTGTATTGAATGCAAAATTAATCGTGATAGAAGAAGGCAGAAACCTAATTCAACTGAATCAATTAACCAGGAAACAGATCAAACAAATAATATTGAATGTATTGAAATTGATTACCTTGAGGTGGGCAGTTTCATTACAAATAAGATCCAAGAGCTAACAGAAAATATAAGTGCCGACGGTGTAGCTGATACGGTCTATAAGACACAATTTTTAGTCAAAATAGATTTAGATACACAAAATATGATAGCAAAGGAAATTGCTAACCTTGTCATTATTGAAATTAAAGGCGGTGATGATTTTTCATGGATGTAGGTTCAATTATTATCTTTTTTTGCATTACTTGACTATCCTGTTTTTTAATATTTAAAAAAAAAATTTTTTCTTTTTTGTATCGCCATAGTTATCAAGAAGCAAATATGTCAAAAAAATTTGATAACAGCACAATTGGCAGGTTCACATATCTGTGTAGCCAATCAAGAGAAGCCCAAAGTGAAGAACATAAAGATTCTAATCATAAGCGATATGTGCATTACAATTGTAAGGGCAAAATTTCTGTACGGGTCGATATAGTTCTTGGTATTGTGAAGGTGAATATTCGTCACGATTCTTTTTATTAACGCCCAGATTTATGTGCTGAGATGACAGATGAACTACAGGAAGAAATTAGAAAGTTTGCACATTTTACCACAGCTCAATTAACAAGCTATCTATGATGTCAAGGAGTCGATGTTTTAAAATATTCATACAAGAGCATATATTATTTGAAGACTATAGCAAATCAAACTCTGTACCAACAGCATAATAACCAAGTGAAATCAACACGCAGGCTGCTTGATGAGCACAGAAATTAGGATTTTTACAAATGCCTGGACTTACAAGACTCAGAATCTACAGCTATTGCATTTATAACTCCATTGCTTAAAGAAATAAATAATCTCAATATTTGTGTTACTGAGATTTATATTGATGCCATATATAAAACTACACGTGGCCATTATGAACTTTATAGCATTGTCGCAGATGTTGATGGTGCTAGTTATTCAATCGCCTATCTTGTAATGGATACAACAAAGGCAACAAATACAGACCCTAGTACAGGAAAATGTTGCATTATATTAGAAGACTTCCTGGCTGCTCTTAAGATAAATAATAAATTAAATTAGTAATAAAATACAATAAAATAATAAATTAAAATAAAATAATAAATTAAAACAAATTAAACTAAATTAAAATAAATTAAAATAAATTAAATTAAAATAAATTGAAATAAATTAAATTAATAATGAACTTAATATAATTTAATAATCCGTATAGTCACATAATATAAATTTACAATTCATCTTTACTGATAAAGACTTTGCAGAAATTAGTGTAGCATCCAACATGTGGGGCAGTTCTATAGTTCAACTATGTGCCTGGCACATGAAACAGGCTGTGAAATGCAAGCTTGAGGAGAAAGCAAAATCATCAAACAATTTTAGATTAATAACTGTGAATTATAATGCTTGTCAAGCAGCCAGTAAATATGATTTTATTGATCCTACTTTTTACCTGATGGAAGAGGATCGTAATTCAAAGTTGTATGTTGTTTGCCTGTTCGAATTCCGAGAAAAGATTCTGAAGTTGATGCAAAAGCACTTCAATATGCATTCATTAATTCCTATAAATGCACAAGGAAATACAATGGAACCAAAAGCGATTAAAAAAAGTGCTATAGAGGAAATATATAAGTTTTGTGTAGAGCATGGTTTACAGTTAGTTTTAAAAAAAAAAACTTTTTTTTTAAAATTAATTAAATATATTTTTTTTAACTTGTAATTTTCTTTAAGCTGCTTTGGTCCTATCTTTGGACCAATTGGTACTTGTTACAACAATGGTATCTTTGGGCACAGTCAGCCAAACTAGTGATACTATATGGAAAGACTACAATGAAGATAGAAGTGCATTGGAGCATTATTAAGCGACATTATTTACAATGCTTCAATCAACCTAGACTCAATCTTCTAATATAGGTGCTTCTCAGGGAAGTGATACCAGCACAGAAGAAATAGTTTTCACAAATTTGGGCTGGCATTATAGAGCCACACTGGTAGGTTGACTTCAAGAGAAAATGGACCTATGTGGGTGCAAATAATGAAGAATGAGCAAGATTATGTAGCAATAAAAGAAAAAAAGTATTGTTATAATCAAATAGTCCATACTTTACTAAAGTTGCCTGATGGGTTTGTAGCTGTCCTGCTTTTGCTAAGAATCACTTTTTTCTATATAAACATTTAGTAAGGCAGACTATAAATACATCTAATGGAAAGACAATATTTACTTAGGTATAGATTTAAGCGTTGTACCACACCACCATTCCTCATTCTGAACAATTCTAATACTAGTAATACTATATCACCAGAGACTCAAAATGTTGTCCAAATTGTTGAAACCCATGTTGCTAATGATTTCCCTGATAGTTATAATGTTAATTCAGATAAAGATTCAGATGAAGAGGCCTGTATTTATGTAGAATTGAAGTGGGAATCATTTGAACTGGCCTTTAGAAGGATCTGTTCAGAAAAAGCTATTAATAATTGGTGGCATGTTAGTGCTATGATAAAATAGAGCAGACTAATGACAATAGAAGAAGATATTCAAAGTGCAGAATGGCAAAAAAATGGCAACCAACCTGGGTATTAGAAAATAGTAGAAAACTATATCTTATGTATTTATCATGCCCCGAAGAACCAAGATTAGTAGAGGATGTAATGTTTGAGGAGAATGTAATTAATGAATAATATAATAATTATTAAAAGAAAGTAGTTAATTATATAAAAATCTAATCTAATCAAGTTCTTAATAGTTAAATAAAATTGATTTGATTTGACGTCTAATAATAAAAAAAAGAAGACTATTAGTTTTAGTTTCTTATTTACTTGTTATACATACTCTAAAAACCAAAAAACTAAAGTATACAAGATTTTAAATACTATTAACTTTTAAAAAATTTGCTTGTTATGTTATATCTGATATTATCAATACTGTACAACGGTGGTGGTGGATAATCATGATAAGCTGGCTGCGGCAGTGATGTCGATCTGACATCAATCATCGATCCAGCATCGATCATCGACCCGACATCGATCATCGACCAGTACTTTGAAGGGGCCGCCCTGATATACTCATAAGGTTAGTATGGTTGAGTAGGGTTTTAAAAGTGCGATATATTGGTTTCGAGTAGATACCAAGTATAGTAGGAAGTAAAAAGTTATATTAAGGGTTTATAGAATTAAAAGTAGATTGTAAAAGAGTATTAAGAAATGTAGTTGATAGAATAAATGTAATTTGGAG